ACACACACACACACACACACACACACACACACACACACACACACACACACACACACAAGCACTCATCGCGCCATTTCCATCCGATTTCACTCTCGCAATAATCTATAATAATGTTAACCACGCGAACAGGACACGCCAGCGAGCGAGCGAGCGAGCGAGAGAATAGGGAGTCGCTATTGAACAGTAACGAGTTGCCGACGAGTTGCGGACGCTACCGAGTTGTGCGAGATCCCGACGATACGCGTCGTCTACGATCGTACGTCCGACGACAATGCTCTTAGCGCCTCCTGGTGGCAATTACCATCGTCACTGACGGTTGACAGTGAGTGGGACCAGCGCACGCACACGCGCACACACGCATACATACCCACACGCGCACACACACACACGCATGCACATGCACGCACACACGCACACACACACACACACACACACACACACACGCACGCACGCACGCACGCGCGCGCTGGCGTTGGAAGCTTCGATTCGTGAATGGCAAATACGTGCGTGGAAGGATCCTCTCTATTAATCGCAAGCTGGCTGCTGCCACCCGGCTGCGGCTGTACGCACATCTAGAGCTAGACTGTAAGCGTAATACATAATAATAATACATACATAATACATAATACATAATAAGGTTACATGCGGCTGTAAGAATAGTAAGGTCTAAACTGTCAAAATAATGTTTAGGCCGTAAGAATACTAAAGTATAGATTGTAAGCTCAATAATGTTTGGGCCGTAAGAATACTAAAGTATAGATTGTAAGCTTAATAATGTTTGGGCCGTAAGAATAGTAAAGTATAGATTGTAAGCTCAATAATGTTTGGGCCGCGTAAGAATAGCTAAAGTATTAAGATATCGTAGCTCAATAATGCTTTTGGGCGCGTAAGAATAACTAAAGGTATTTAATGTTGTAGAAGCTTAATAAATGTTTTGGCGTAAGAAATATCTAAAGTATACCTGTATGTAAGCTAATGAATGGTTGGGGTCTGGCGTAAGAAACATAGTAAAGTATTAGATATGTAAGCTTAAAAATGGGTTGAGCCGCGTAAAGAATGAGTAAAGTGGATAGTTGGATTGATAAATGCTCCATAATGTTTAGGCCGTAAGAATACTAAAGTATAAGTTGTAAGCGTCAATATGTTTGAGGCGCGTAGAGATGGAGGTACTAAGTTATTAGATTTGTAAGGCTCAGAATAAAAATGTTTGGGCCGTAAGAATACTAAAGTATATGTTGTAAGCTTAATAATGGTTGGGCTGCGTAAGAATAGTAAAGAAGTAAGTACGAATTGTAAGGCCCATAATGTGGCTAGGCGCACGAAGGAAAGGTCAGGTAAAGTATAGATTGGTACACCGTTAATAATGTTTTTGGGCCCGGCGTAAAGAAACTAAAGTATAGATTAGTTAGCAGCTTAATATGTTTTGGCCGCGTAAGAATACTAAGTATCAAATTGTATAAGCTTATTAATGTCGTTGGGCCGCCGTAAGGTAATACTAAAGATATAGAATATCTGTAGAGACATGATATAATGTTTGCAGGCCCGTAAGAATACTACAAGCCTATTATGTTGTAAGCTTAATAATGGTTGAGCCGCGTAAGAATAGTAAAGTATAGATTGTAAGCTCCATAATGTTTAGGCCGTAAGAATACTAAAGTATAAGTTGTAAGCTCAATAATGTTTAGGCCGTAACGATATACTAAAGTAGGATTCTGTCAAGCTCAATAAGATGTTTGGGCCGCGTAGATAATATCTAAAATGTATATGATTTGTAAAGCTCAAATAATGGTTTGGGCCGTAAAAGAATAACTATAAGTATAGATTGGTAAGCTTAATCACTGTTTGGGCCGTAGAGATAACTAAAGTAATAGATTGTAAGTCTTAAATTAATGTTTTGGGCCTGCGTAAAGCATACTAAAGGAGTATAGATTGTAAGGCTCCATAAATTGTTTAGGCCGTTTTAAGAATATCACATTAAGAGTATAGAATTGTAAGGGTCTTAATAAAGGGGTAGACCGTGTAAAGAATATTAAAGGCTAATCTATAAGCTTAACAATGTCTAAACTGTAAGCTTAGTTAGGTCTAAACTGTAAGCCTAGTAAGGTCTACTCGCAGCTGTAGACATTGTAACGTCTCGACCGTGAGCTAAGGAAGGTCAAGACTATCGGCTTAGTAAACACGGCTTAGCCTGTAAGCTCGGCAAAGTCTGCTCGCTTCAGCTGTCTACGGCTGACTCCAATGGCTTCGCTCTCTTCCGCTTACGCTCGCGCGCGCTCTCTCTCTTTTTCTCTTTCTCTCTCTCTCTCTCTCTCTCTCTCTCTCTCTCTCTCTATCTTCCGCTCACGCTCGCGTGCTCTCTCTCTCTCTCTTTCGCTCACGCTCGCGTGCTCTCTCTCTCTCTCTCTTTCTCTCTTCCACTCACGCTCGCGTGCTCTTTCTCTCGTTCGCGCGCGCGCATGCTCTCAGGTGAACCCTGCACGCGGCGCCGATCGTAAATGCTTCTACGACGTGGTGCTGGCCGCTCAAGACGTTGCACTAATGCGAAGCGGCTGGCGCGAGTGCATCGCCGTCGCCACGTGAGTCTAATTTATACGGCTTCAGTCGCCTAATTAATTGCTAGTCGAGTCGGGGAACCGCAACTATTTTCGTGTGCGCGCGTATGTGTGCGCGCGTGCGTGCGTGCGCGCGCGGGTGCAGATGTTTCCGGAACGAGCGAGTGGCCGCCGGGTGGTTTTTTGGTCTGTTGCGTGGACGGCAGCAGCGTCGGCGGCTTCGGTATTTTGAGTGTAACCGACGGACCATCAGCTAACAGCGGCCATCTGCCATCGACGGCACCCGAGCGCGAGCGCGCTATCTACGAAAATAGGTCGACACTGATACATGAATAGTAGCGAGGTACTGACAACCTACGGATGAACAGATTGAGCACAGTGTGATGGGACGAGCGACGGAGTGACTAGAGTCGCTGCATGGCGAAACGCGCCGTCCGTGTCGCGCGCCGCAGCCACAACCACGGCAGTCCGCCGGCTTCACGTGTGACGAGTGCAGGTCACATGTATTCACGTAGGGACGCCAAACGGCAGCGGTCAGAGGTGTCCGTGTACGAGCGCGTGAGTACGTGTGTGAGTGCGTACGTGTGTGCGTGTACGCGCGTGTGTGCGTGCGAATTCGCCGAGCAGAATCGTCGCACGGTTCGAGAACAATCGGAGTCCGACAGACTCACGACAAGTCAATCCACGAGAGAAATCCACCGCATGCGTTCAGCGCCAACTGCCAGCGAAGCCTAGCTCTGCGTCGAGCGCAGCACGCGCGGAGTTGATCCAGCTCTCGCGCGCATCCGCCTGCTTGGATTCGACGGAAGCTGCTGCAGTCGGGAAATTCGATGCCAGTCGACAAGTGGGTGTCCACGGGCAGCAGCTGCCCTTTTCATCAACTCGTCAGCGAGGTGTAACATTCGCAAAAATGCGAATGCGAATTAATGGATTATTACATCATAGACTATAATTCAAGAGCGTCCGCTTTACCGGGCTTCTCCTCGAACGCTTCTTCACACGTTTCTTGTAAAACAGAAACTTGAAAGGCTGCGCGGCGGGCAGTGCGGCGAGTGGAGATCTCACGGGAGGAAGAGGAATATGACGGCATCATCGGATCTTTTTCTTGTCGAGCTGTGATCCACCGACCGCGCGCGAATCTAACCGTGCTAACGTGAAGCTCAACAAACTCACACGCCGCCGTCTGAAATCACATTAGACGCACTTACGACGACATAAGTAAAGTCGACTACATATGACCGAAAGTTAGGTGTGACATCGCGCTTTCTTTCGTCTTCGCCGGAGGTCTTTGCGAAAGAAACAGCGAGGACAGCATCCCTCGCGCGCTGTTTGTGGAATTTTTTGGCGACACGAGGAGTAGAATTCGACGCCGGGATGGAATTCGTCAACAACGGCACGCTCGCCGCTGCGAGCAACGCGACGGAGCCGCAGACGTGCAACCTGACGACGATGGGCGAAGCGAACTTTCTCGAGTGTTCGCTGGGACTGCGATACCCGCTCGTCACGCGCACGATGCCGATCACCGTCATCTACAGCGTCATCTTCGTGACGGGAATCTTCGGCAACGTGAGCACGTGCGTCGTCATCGCTCGCAACAATCACATGCACACGGCCACCAACTGCTACCTGTTCTCGCTCGCCTGCTCCGACATCATGATCCTGCTTCTGGGTATGTTGTTGTTGTTGTTGTTGTTGTTGTTGTTGTTGTTGTTGTTGTTGTTGTTGTTGATGTTGTTGCTGATGTTGTTGTTGTCGGTGGTGATGTTGTTGTTGTTGTTGTTGTTGTTGTTGTTGTTGTTGTTGTTGTTGGTGGTGGTGGTGGTGGTGGTGGTGGTGCGCGATTATGTTAGGGCTGGGGTTAGGCTACGATTGCGTCGAGTTCTGGGTATGTTGTTGTTGGCGTCGTCGTCATCGTTGTCGTCGTCATCCTTGTTGTTGGTGTTGTTGTTGTTGTTGTTGTTGGGAGGGGGTGATTATGTTAGGGTCGGGGTAAGGCTACGAATACGTCGAGTTTTGGGTATGTTGTTGTTGGCGTCGTCGTCATCGTTTTCGCGTCATCCTTGTTGTTGCTGTTGTTGTTGTTGTTGTTGGGGGCGTGATTATGTTAGGGTTAGGGTTAGACTCAGGTTAGGTTGGTTTAGGGTTAGGATTAGGAGTTAAGATTAACTTTAACGGGTCAATGTTATGATTAGCGTTATGATGATGTAGTACAATATATATGATGATCACGACGGTGATCTACATACGGCGACCCTATAGGATGTGACCTCATTTATCTGCGGCTCCATGCAATATCACCGCGTAGAATGTTTGCCCGTGACGTCATTATCATGCAGATAATGCAGAGAACCAACGCGCGAGTAAGCTTTAGTTCAAAGACGCAAAATGACAACTAATTTAAAGTCGCGCGTCAGAATTTTCTAACATCAAAAGTAGATCAACAACAATTTCTCGATCATCTGCGCCGTGACAACATTGATAACTCGGACAACATTGATAACTCGTGACTACATTGATAACTCGGGACAACATTGATGACGCGAGGGGGACGACGTGTACGTGACTCGAGTCAAGTGAGTCGTCGACTGAAGGACGCATCGCGCCGCGACTGCTGCGCCGCCTAACGGGCGAACTACGAGTGATTTCATTAGCGTCCCGCGTGGAGGGATGCGGCGATGGCGTGCCTATAATAATCAGCATACTCGAGGATGCTTGAGCTGCTTCATTACCACCGGTAAAACCCACCGGCACAAGTGCCGTCGCCCGGTAATAATAGTGTTAACTTAATACTCAGCGCCGCGTTAAACGGGGGGATAGAGGAGACACGTGTTAAAGCCGCGGTCTAACGAAGTAACGGTCTAAAGACGGTGTCCGCATAAAACGTGCCGCAATCGGTTCCCAATCCAATACCAGCAGCAGTCGCGCGAATTTTTTATTGTGCTACAACTAACTAGCTTATGCCGCATCTTCCAGGAGGTTCATATCGGGGTCACGGCCATCGTTAGAACACCCACTGCCTATACTCACTGATTATATAGCTATATAGTTGGCCGCGCGAGAGAGGGAGACAGAGAGCGACGGAGAGAGAGAGAAAGAGAGAGAGAGAGAGAGAGAAAAAGGGTGAGAGAGAGATAATGAGAAAGGGTGAGAGAGAGAGAGAATGAGAAAGGCAGAGAGAGAGAGAGAGCGACAGAGAGAGAGAGAGAGAGAGAGAGAGAGAGAGAGAGAGAGAGAGAGAGAGAGAGAGAGAGTTTGAACAAGACTGAGAGAGCGGGAGCGCAGCGTGGGAAAGCAAAGCGAGATATTGATATCTCCGTGAAAACATCACCTATTTTCGCTGTCGTTTATATCCGATGTAAGCTTTCACAATCCGGCGACTATCGGGTTCCAGCGACGACCAGACGCATCTAGTAGATAGATCTCCGCACAGAATCGAACCGACTTATCACTGCTTCAGAAAAGAGCGATCACACATTCATTTCGACGCCATTACATCGAGTCGCTTAATTGTGATCGATCTTAAAAGTCTTTGATGTTAATTGGTCGATGATCAAGATAACTGGTACATGACTCATCATGCTGCATCCGTCGCGTGGTCATGCCCCGTTAGGAAATGTGCGTGGTTTGATGTCTTAGATCGACAATGATCGATATCGCATTATATCGTATTTCACCTGTGTCGTGGAAGGCGGTGCGGCCGGTCTGGTAGTGGGAGATATTTGCGTTAGCACTGAGTCCCTGAATACAACATGCCCTACTCGATATGCGAGAATTCAGTGCAGGTTGAGATAAGCGAATTTCAGGCGTTATTCGAAGGCATCCTTGCATCATAATTTTATTAACTAAAATTGATTAAACCAGTGTGAATCCCAAGTGTAGTTAAGCCAGAATTGCTATCGAAAATTGCTACGTTGTCATGCATTGCGTTCTGCGCACGCACGCGCGTGCGTGTGGTAAGAGACTAGAGTATGTGCGTGCGTGTGTCGTAAGCATGTTGTGATTTAACGTATCCGTTCAGAGTAGCCCTATACCAGCTGGTCAATTTGTAAAATCGTCTTAAGGTAATTTGCCACATGCGCATGTGACGGATCAAAAGTCTATATATAATAGTAGAGCTAATCGTAAGGACGTCACTATACCTTGTTCACCTTCGCTCAGTACGATCACAATAAGTGAATCTGTAGACATTACAACTTAAATAGATTGAGACGCTCATTCCATGTGGCAGTGACATATAGATAAGTCATAAGACATAAGTCTGGATGCTTGAGTCTATACTATCGGTAGAGTGTTAGAGTGTACTGTCGGTCGATGCGTTAAGTTGCCGAGCGTAATAAATTGTAGTCTGTAGATAAATTAAAGACAAGACATCACTTTTAGCTGTTACTCCGAGTTTCACGCTTACGCGATCATCAGACAGACTTTAATAAAGATTTTTTTTTTTTATTATTACAAGATCTGTTTGATATCGCGTAAGCGTGAAATCTCGGAGTAACAGCTAAAAGTGATGTCTTGCTCTTTAATTTATGCTACAAATTTACATATATATATATTAATATATAAGAAGACATTTTTTATTTTTATTTGATATTCGTGCCGGTGCAAGCAGTGTCTATTACCAACAATGGAACGCTCAACCATATGCTAGTACAAACGACCAGTTTTTTATTACACCGTGTTCGAGATTTTTGTCCGCGTTGCTGCTAGCTGTACTGCTGCTTCTGCTTCTGCTGCTGCTCGCTGCTGCTGCTTCTGCTTCTTGCTGCGGTTGCTGCTGCACAGACTACTCCTACTTGGCTGGTGGACGGTCCTATAGAGGTTTATGATATTTACGCGACCGAAACCTCGAACCAGCGCAACGCGTCAGCTGCCGAGATGGAAGAACAGCGAAAGCCTGAAAACATCGTTTTCGTTGACATCTACTCGGAAGTCTCTACCGAATTACAAGCGAGCGTAATGTTGAGCATTTCGCGCACCTGTTAGCGAGCCCGCGGCCTCACACCGTTTCGCGCTACCGTCAACATGTGCTTCTTCTCGTACAAGCGAAGCCAACACCGTTCACGTTCGTTCGCATACTACCGTAGCACGCAGCGCAGCCAGGAGCAGCAGCATAACAGTAACCAGTAAGCCGCCATCGCCACCGCCACCGACACAAACGCACCGAGCATCGTCACCACGCACCACGCACGCTCCGCGGTTACCGCCACCGCCATCACCAATACCACACACCACACCATCACCATACGCACAATCACCATCACCATCAAATCACACATCAACATCAACACCCATCCCCCCACCCCATCACACACCACCACACCACCACTACCATATTCACCACCACCATGCACCACACCAACCCACACCACCACCACCACCACCACACCCCACCACCACCACCACCACACACCCCACCACCAGCAGCAGCAGCAACAGCAGCAGCATCACCACCACCATGCCACCACCACTCACCACGGTTCACGTTCGTTTCGATACATACCGTTAGCACGCACGCAGCTGGAGCAGCAGCAGTAACCAAGTACAGTAGCGCATCGGCCACCGCCACCCGCCACCGCACGCATCCTCCACCACCCCACGCCATCCGCCTCGGCCGTTACCGCCACGCCAATCACCAATCACACCACCTATCACCAATCACATTCAACCATCAATCCACCATGCAACCATCAACACCAGCCATACCCCACCACCGACAATCACCACCACACACACCACCTCTACCATCCATCACCAGTCACCCATCCTCCTACCACATCACCATCACATCAACCATCAATCACATCACCATCAACACCACCATCCCATCACCACCATACCACCAACCCAGCCACCACCACACCCACCACACCACCACCACCCACCACCACCACCACCATCACCATCACCCAATCAGCCAAACATCACCATCCACTTCACCACCACAACCACCACCCCACCACCACCACACCACCGACCACACCACCGACCCAGCAGCAGCATCAGCAGTCAGCCCACCACCACACCACCAGCACCAACCACCACCACCACACACCACCAGCAGACAGCACCACGATCCCCCACCACCACCACCACACCCACACACCACACACACACCGACAACACCACTACCCACACCACATCCACCCACACACACCACCAACACGCACCACCACCCCACACACCAGCAGCACCACACCACCACACACATCACCACACAACCACCACCCCACCACCCCACCACCACCACACCACCACCACCACCACCACCACCACCACCACACACCCGTACACCACACCACACCTACACACCACCAACACACCACATAACACCACCACCAGCAAGTACACGCCTCCACCTACACACCACCACCACCACACACCACACCACACCACCACACCACCACACATCACCACACAACCACCATCACCACCACCACCACCAGCCACACACCCACACACACCACACCCCACCACCACCCACCACCCACGTACCACCACCACCACCCCACCACCACACCACACACCACACCACCACCACCAGCCACCACCACCGCAGCACGCAACAGCAGCTTTCAGCAGCAGCACACCACGACCACACCACCACCACCACCACCACCACCACACGTACCACCACCACCACATCCTACCACCACCAAGCAGCAGCACACC